ATATATATTTATAGTTTATTAATTTTTTTATTATTATTATTATATCTAACTATTGAACATATGTTTTGAAGCAAAATTTTCAATTATTTGATGTCCTATAATGTTGTAATTCAATGTTATTTTAATAAAAAAAAGTAATAAAACAATAGTTTTTATTATATAAATTAATTATTTAAACTGCTATTATAAATATTGTAACTATATATTTTTAATTGCAAATTTTCATAATATAATAATCAAATATTATACTATTTTTAAACAATTTATTTAAAAAAAATAGCATATAGTTTTAAATTAATTGATTATTAATATTTTTAAAAAAATTTTATATTGTATTACATTTTTTAGTGAATTATAAATATATATTATTACTTTTTTTCTAGTAATACAATATTAAATTTTAACAAAATTAATTTTATAAATATAAATTAAATAGTTAAAAAAATTTTAATAAATAATTTATTAAATATTATAACTACTATTGTAATTATTTATATAATTGTATATTAAGATTATATAAAATATTTTTTTTTGTTTATCTATAGTTTTCTATTAGTATTCTAGTTTCGTATGGATTTAATTATAAAATATTAAATTTAAAAAAAATTACATGATTTAAATTAAATAAAAATTATATTAATAAAAAAATATAAATATTGAAAACTATTTTTTTAAAAAAAAATATTTATAACTATGTATGACTAATACTGTAATATATAAATAATTTAATATTTACTAAACATTAGTAAAAAAAATACGAGACAATTATTTAAATAAAATTTTTAGTTAACTAAGTTTGTTTTATAAAAAAAAAACAATTAATAGTATCAGTTTTTCATAAATAACAATTTGATTTAAAAAAATATTTTTAAAATATATTATTATTACAATACATTTAAGTATAAATTAGAAAAATATAAACAATTTTTCTTAACTATAGTTTATAAATATTATAGTTAACAAAAAATAAATGTTAGTAAAAATATGAGACAATTTGTTAACTAAATTTCTAAACAAATAATTTTGTTGTATTTTTTCAAATCAATTAATAGTATTAATGTTTTGTAAAAAATAGTCATTTGTTTTAATAGTATTTACAGTATAAATATATTTCATATAAATAAAATTTATATAATTATTTAGATTTCAATTATTATTTAAAATACTTAATTATATTAAGTTTTATATATGAAAAAAATAAATTTAAATAATTTCTGATAACTTATTTAATATTTGTATTTTTTTAAAAAATAATAAATTATATTTATCTATAATTATAATAATAAAAGTTTTATTAGTTATTAAATTAATAGATATGTTGTTTAACATCACAACTGAAGGTACAATTAATAATAATATTGTTTTTTTCAACTTTGTATTTACAAAATTATAAAGTTTATAAAATTAAATTTTTAGATTTCATTAATGTTATGATTAATACAATTGGTTTTATTATTATCACATCCACTGACAGTCAGACAACATTTACCGATAATATAACACAAATTAAATCAAACATAACAACAACAACTGTGGGTAAGTATATAAAAAATTTAAAAAAAAACTAAATAAAAATAATATAACTAAAAAAAAATCTTATTTAAAAAAATTAATTAGATTTCATTAATGAAACAACAATTACCAATGACTTGAATATTACATCACCTTTCAGTAAAATTCCCGGTAAATTAACTAAAAAGTTAAACATCAAATTAGACCGTCTAATAAATAATAATATAAATAAAAATAATAATAATAATATTAATAATAATAATATTAATAATATTAATAATATTAATAATATTAATAATATTAATAATATTAATAATAAAAATAAAATAATATTAATATTAATAATAATAATAATAATAATAATATTAATAATAATAATAATAATAATAATAATATTAATAATATTATTAATAATAAAATAATATTAATAAACTACTAGAAAATAAGTTTTAATGTTATACAGTATATATATATATATAATAATAATAACTTTTTAATTATATTTTTAATTAAATAGGTGAAATAAAAAGTACTAATATGTTGTACATCACATGGATTACTGTTTGCATTGCAATGACATTGATGTTAATATCGGCGATAATAGTTGTCATCATTTATCGCAAACAAAATGTCAAAAAAAACACATTAATGACTACTCAATGGTATTATATGGACAACACTTGCGAACCAACTGTTATTATTGATAGCAATGATTTGATTCAACCGTTTGATAACCACAACAACCTTAGGTGTGGACCAAACACTTTGATTAGACATCAGTTACGATATCAACGACAACAACATATGATTGCGAAATCAAAGCAATTAATACAACAAAAACATTTTTATAGACAATATTATACTATTTAAAAGTTTTTATTATTATTTAAAAAAATAATATTTAAAAGTTTTTATTATTATTTAAAAAAAAATAATAATTAAAATCATTTTAATATATGTTTAAATTGTTTATGAAATAATTTACTAATAATAACTCAAATCAAATTACTTAATACATTAATAAAGTTAATAAAAACTAAATAAATAGAGATATAATAAAATATTTAATTAATTAATTATTTAAAACAGTTTTAATAATCCAATCAATCTTTTTGGACACTCGTATAAAAGTCATATAAGTTTCTGGATCAGCACTGAGACAACCGCCAGCAAGTGGTTGACCCAAAAAACCTTTGGCTACACCTATAAGTACGGCCCGATCGATGACACCATAATCACTACTAACACCACCCGAAACATATTGAATCAATGGTCCGCCAGAATCGCCCTAATTATTATGATATAAATTATATAATATATATATATGTATAATATGTATATATATTCAAAACTAATTTGTTTTATCAGACAAAATAAAATGATAACTTATTTAATAATTTTTTGTTTTAAATTTCAAAAAAAAATAAATATTATTGAAACATACTATACAAACAGCCAGTCCTCTACCGTTTGGATACCTGAGTGCTTGTATTTGATTACCCCATAAATCATGTCTATTATTATTATTATTATTATTCAATGTTTTCAATAATTTCAACCAACCCGTCCTCAACGGTCCCGGATTACTGACTTCACGATCAATATAACCAAAACCAGCAAACAGTGCCAACTCTTCAACGGTATTAACAATATGACTGTCGGGCAAACAAATACTGTTAACCGTATAATACCTGCCATTCATTGATCTTTGAATCCCTAAATGACTATTCAGTTTCAATAGCGCGATGTCATACATCTCTTTCGTATTAATCGTATAGTTTGGATGTATAAACCATTGGTTAACACCGTATGTATGCCTATTATCTCCCATATCCTGAACTGTTCGAACAGTTATAGTTTTATCGGAACTGTTATATGATTTGTTATATATATATATATAACAAAAATGTAAATTTAAGTAGAAAAATAAATTTTAATTGTTTTATTTTTTTTTTAAATAGGTTATATCATACTCTATACAATGCGCTGCTGTTATAATCCAATTGGTGTTTAGTATAACACCCGTACATTCATCGCTATTTTAAATTGTTTTTTGAATAGTATTAAATATAATATAAAATATAAAATAATAATAATAATTAAAAATTGCAAAAAAAATAACAAATTAACAAACGTTGAAATCGGAATAAATCCTAAAAAATAATATTTTGCATAAATATATACAATCCATGGCCACTCTCCCGGTTGAGCTAACCGTCCGTTTTGTACACTTGTAGTCACATTTGATGACCACTTGAAACAGTTTTTTGTAGTCAACAGTGACTGCCGTCCGATACCACACGTGTCGAGCGTTACGTTCGGATAGTGTTTGATCTGTGAGTGAATGCAAACACTGAACGACACCAATACTGATGACAACAATACTATTAATAATAAATAATTATATATTTAAATAAAAATATTTTATAGTTTAAGTTTATTAAGTTTTTTTATTATAAAAAAAAAATCATATAAAACATTAACAAACATAAGATTAGCATAAATTTCATTATGATGTGCTTTAGTCGTAATTCTATGTTATTTTAATAAAAGTTATTAACAATACTTTTTATATTATGTAAATTAATTTATTTAAACTGTTATTATAGATATAGTAATTATTTTTTAAATATTAAATTAAATATTATATAATACACATAATATTATAATAGTTTTAGACAATTTATTTATTTTTTTAAATATAACAAATAGTTTTAAATTTCTTAATTGATTTTTATTCTTAAAATGTTATTTACATTTTTATATATTGTATTACATTTTTTTTAGTGAATTATAAAAATATTTTATTACTTTTTTTTCTAGTAATACAATATTAAATGAATTTATTAAAAACACAAAAAAAATATTAATAGATAATTTTATAAAGTATTATAACTAATATTGTATTTATTTCTATATTTGTATATTAAGATTATATAAAATATTTTTTTTTATTTATCTATAGTTTTCTATTAGTATTTTAGTTTCTTATTGATATAATTATAAAATATTTATAAAATAATATACATTAAAAAATCATATGATTTAGATTAGTAGTAGTAGTAATAACATTAATAATAATAATATTAATAGTGATGGTAGTAGTGATTGATATTAGTTATTATTTTGTTTGATTTAATATTTGAATTTTATTAATAATATTAAAAAATTAAATCAATAAATAAATTGAATATTATTTTAATAAAAAAAATTAATAATAATCTAAATTATAATAAATTAATAACATTATAAAATACATTATTTATATTATTATTTTTTAAAAATAATATACGATAAAAAAATAAATGATTGAAATTTTATTTAAAAAAAATTAGTAATTTCTTATTGAACATTGAATTAGTATTTATTTACTTAAAATAAAAATCAAACATTAAATTACCGGTAAATATTAAAATAGATTTAATTGTATCTAATTATACGGTTAAATCAAATTTTTGCCGGAAATATAATATATATATATATATATATACTGTATATATATATATATATATCGGTTATTAGTTTACCGTTAAAAATATGAACAACAAAACAAACAAAATCTGAAATTTTTAAAATAAAATTTGATTTCTAAAGTGTTTCTGAAGAATCTTATTGTTCTTTTGGCCCATTTTTAGGGCATGTCTTCGCTGTATTCGCTGAACAAACTGGACATCTCTGGCCCTCTGTATGCTGGCCTCACCCGTACTACCAGTCCAGCCGAGTGCCCGATATTTGGTCATAACTTTGTCGAGAATAGCTGCCGACGACGACGACTTGTTTGCCGGCGTATCGGTTATGGGTTTCAAATTTTGCCGATAATAGCGAAACAACGATCGATGGCCAATAACAGCACCGGACGGTAGTGCCAATTGCCAGTCACTGTCGTCGATATGCGGTATAACTACTTCATCGTCATCATCATCAATGGTCACCAGTTGTTTACTGCCATCATAATCGGGATAACTTTTCGTATAGTCATAGAACTGGGAATATTCGGGTAAATAACGGGTCGAATGATTTAGTTTGGTGTGTCCTCTGTCTTGCATATGCTGTTGAGCCGATCGTACCGATCGAAAACGCTTACCCGAATCGCAACACCAGAGACAATAGTGTCCGTAACCGACTTTTTCGCCCAGATATTCGATAAACGGAACCAAATCGCGGACAAACTCAATGTCTGGTATGAAAAACGAATGACTGAACGACATATGGGACATATTGTCTTCGATGGTCAGACTAGAGTGTTGGCAAAACAGGCATTCATTCGGCCTAATCGGTTGACCATCTGTTTGGTCGTCATCGTCATCATCATCGCCGCTGTCGACACTTTCCCAGTCCTCGTCGTCATCATCATCATCATCGACGACAACATCATCTATGTGTTTGTTGGCCGTCACTACTGTTTGATCCATGGCTTTCGTGGTACTCATGGCCGTCACCGCAGCCGCCGCCGCAATTAAATCATCGGCTTTTTTGTCACTATCATCATCGGGTAGACTAATAATCGCCGATTGCTTGTTATTGTTGTTGTGATTTACCGATGATTGTTGTTGTTGTTGTTGTTGTAAATGTTTTTTGCTATTCAAGTGTTGGCCAAACGCTTTATCGGTACTAAACTGTTTGCCACAACACTGGCAATACAGCTGTGACGACGACGACGCCGATCGTTTGGCCGTCGATTCGTTGTCATCGGCGGCACCGCCGCCACCACCACCACCACCACTGCTGCCGTCGCCGCGATTTCGGTGAACTTCTTCGATGCGGTCAAACTGTTCGCTGGTAACCACTGGCAATTGGGCCAACTTTCGCCGCAAATTATACGAATGCCAATCGCTTTTATAGTGCCGGCGCTGATCGTCGCCAGTGGCCAGACTAACCCGACATGTCAGACACGTAAACCATGACATCGTTGTTGTCGTCGTCGGTGTTGTTGTTGTTGTCTTAGTTGTCGATGACATCAGTTGATTGACCAATGGATCCGTTGAAGATTTTTTTTTTTTTTGGTAGTTGTTTCGGTTGTAACGCTATCGACACGTTATATATTAATATATATATATATACGTGTATATATAAACACATGTATTAACAGAGCACTGGTATGTTTTTTTTTTCAATAGGTATAGACATCTAGCGTTTTATAGCTAACTGTGCCATACATTACACACACAAACACTAAACAATGTATTATATATTGCATGAGATATAATAGTAAGCAATACTAAACAACAATTCGGTACCATTTATAACTATAGGATGACTATTGTATCAAATATATTGGAATGGTTATTAGAAATAGGCCCAAATTGTTTTTATGTTTTCAGTAGTAGTTTATTAGTAATGATAACATTTTTTTTTTTTTAGTACAGTTTAGTACTAAAATAAAAACTGTTCGATTATATTCAAAACCAAAATAACAATAGTAGACGCACCAMACACACACACAAACACACATAGATTTATCATAGATTACAATTAATATATATATATATATATATATATATACAAATAAAATAGTGTATATATGTAACTATGTAACATGTTAGTCTATGTTTTGTAATAAATTCGCCCCCCTCCTAAGCATTAAACACTAATATTACGCTCATATACATACACTACAGTGTTAGTGGGGGGGGGCGGCTATTATTGTTTTGGTTTTGAATATAATTAAACAGTTTTTTTTTAGTTAGTAATACTGTAGTGTAGTGGTGTTAGTGTGTCTCTAATGTCGCATATATACTGTACAGTATATATATATATCAATATTTTATACAATAAACGCATACTACTAGCTGTTAATACTGTTTAATGGGCGGAGCCATTTTATACTTGTTACACATATACTGTTTATACTGTATATATATATATATATAGTAAGGTATATATATATATATATATATATATAGAAAATACTATCTATGTATATGCGCAATGGATATCGTCTATTAGTTTATTATTATTATTATTATTATGATAACTACACGGCAATCATTTTGCAGACATTTATATTAGGCGTGGTTCACATATTACGTTCGCATTTTTTAAAAAATCTAGACCCCCACCCTCCCCTATGTTCGCAATTGTTCGCATGTAGTCATTTAAAAAAATTACGTTCGCTTATCCTTAACCGCTACCCCCCCCTCACCACCATCACAAGAAATAAGATATTATCTAAATGCGAACGTTCTTAAAGAAGTCTCTACCCCTCCCCCTCGTTCGAAAAAGTTCGTTTTGGCTAACCCCCCCCTCCCCTCAAGTGCGAACGTAATATGTGAACAACGCCTAACAATATAAGTCTATACATATTATACATACAGTACAGTCAGTCAGTCAGTCATTGTGTGTGTAATGCTATTGAAAAATAGTAGTACTGTTTGATTGCTTTACTAATAAACTGTAGATTTTTGAAAAAATTATTATTGAAATCAATTTTGTAATTGTTTTTAATTAATTTAAGTATTTTAGTTAATAATTAATAATTAAAGTGAACAAAAAATATCTAAATATTTAATTAATTATTTTTTTAAAATATTTTTCAAAAAATATATATATATATATATAATTTTATTTAATTTTATATTATTTATGTGTGTTTTTATTGTGTTGTTGTACTACACATTAGTTGCCATTTATTAGTTAAACATACAGTATATACTGTTTGTGTGTCTATATATATATATATATATGATATCTAAACAATACATTTATTGTTGTATATTATTATAAAATAGTCAAATAAATATATATCATATATATATTTAATTAATAATAATAATAATTAATAACATCAACAACAATTAATTGAAACAACAATTAAAAATTAATACAACAATTAATTTATATGACGTCTTCATTAAGCATTTTCGGTAAATTCAAAATATTTTAAATTTTTTGTATTTTAATTATTAAATATAAATTTTTTTTTATATTAATTTTAATTTATCCAAAAAAAAAACTAACTGTTTTTTTTGTTGGTGTCTATATATAATTGACTATAAATTTTGTGTGTTTCCCCTAAATAACTAACCAAAAAAAAAACTATTAATATTATTAATTAATTTAATTTATTTTATTTTTGTTATTAACAAAAAAAAAAAAGCCAAACGTATGTATAATAATAATAATAATAATATAATAGTGTATATGTATAGCACATACAAAAAAATATGGCTTCAATTCAATAGGCCTTATGTTTTATTTTATTTTATTTTTTTTTTGTAAATTATTTTTTAATTTTAGTATATATTTAGTGTATATAGTCCTATATATATTTCAATTGAATTTGAAATGTTATTTAAACAACAATTTTTATATATATATATATATATATATATATATAATAGGTTTATATCACTGTATATATATATATGATATATAATTAGCTAACTGGGTATCAAAAAAAATATATATGTATACATATACTGTATATATATATATAGGCATATATTTTTTTTGATATGTTTTTTTTAAAAAAAGTTTTTAATTTTAATTTTTATATATATTTTTATTTTGTCGACAGACAGTCGCCTTTATTGTAGTTATTATTTTATTTTTTATAGATAATTATATGATGTATATATATATAGTTAACTAACAAATTATTATACATTAAAAAAAACAACATAAATATTAATAAAATAATATCCATTTGAGACACAAAATAATATAAAAATTAAAATTAGAAACCTTTAGTTAGTTAGTTAGTTAGTTAGTTAATAGCAGTTATAATAGTTAATTAAAAAAAATATTAATAATATACTAATAGTAATAATTATTATTATTACTAACTAAATATAACTACTACTACTGATTTTTTAATGGCATTTATCAGTGACAACTTGTAAGCCATTTGTATTAATAAAAAAAAACAAATTATTAATTTAAAAAAATTTAGTATAAAATTATAAATTATTAATTTTTTTTTTATAATAATTTAAACCTTATTTGAAGTCTACAACAACTACTACTACTACTACTACTAATGATAGCCGAGACATATGTTTGTTGTATTATATATATGATATACATGTATATATATATATATATATATATATATATATATATATATATAGTATTTAATATTAACTTATATATCAATTAATTATTTAGTTTTTTATTAAATGTTTTAACAAAAAAAAAAATACTAAATGTTTTCCGCATTTTTAAATTATTTCATTTTTTTTTATCGGTTCCGTCGGTACAAACAGAATTTTCGGTTGGACTCAATCGTTGTCATCATCTACACCAACAACAACAACAACAAGACAGCAATCATCAGCAGCAGTCGTTGTCGTCATCGACAGATAACTTGACCACAATAGACAACCAACGATTACCGCCAGTGTTTACCACAGCGTTGTTTATGCCGTGTCATCGGTCGCCACCAAATCTCGCCAACAATTTAAGGTAAGTTAGTTAGTTAGTTGGTTGGTTATCGGTATCGGGTATCGTATTTAGTGGATCCCAGTTTTTTTTTTTAATTGATGTCTTATTAATCCTACAATTAATTTAATCAAACAGGCATTCTTTAGGTGGTGGTGTTTCTGTCAGATCCAGTAGAAGACATAGTAGTAGTAGTAGTAGTACTAGTGGTAACTGTTTAGACGATTATCGGTCGTGATATCTGATATCAAATCGTGATTAGCTATTAGCTCACCATTTCATGTGTGATTTTTTTTGGTGGTCGGCTCTTAAACGCCATCGTCATCTGATCTATTAATTTATATGTTGGTCTCTCTCTCTTATCACTACTTTATCTCTCTCTCTCTTTCTTCTGTGTCTATCTTTTCAATCAAATCTTTCATTCAAATCCACTACTTTATCACCAATTGGTTGGACTCCGTCTCGACGACACCAATCCGATCGGTTGTCTCCCATAATTTGATTTGATTTACCGATAATTATCATCGGCTATCATAAAACTAATAGCCCATTGCACCGACCATTGCAATCAACAACAACAAAAAATCTCATTTTTTTCTTGAAAACAAAAGATTGATCCAAAAATTTTCAGACAAAAAAGACATCCAATCGCTTATATAGCTATCTATCATCAGCTAATAGTTGTTTCATTCAAATATTTTCTCTTAAAATCTACGGTAAACTAAAAAAAAAACAATTGTTTAGTCAAATATCTACTTCTACGACAACAATGGCTATGCTTAACGTTAATCGTAAAGTAATTGATCCCTTCTATCGATACAAAATGCCAAGACTTGACGCCAAAGTCGAGGGCAAAGGCAATGGGATTAAGACTGTAATCGTTAATATGGTGGACGTGGCCAAGGCTTTGAATCGGCCGCCAATGTGTTAGTAATAATAACCGATTTACCGATAGTTTGATCATCTGATTCTAACATTTTTGTTGTCGATTAACAGATCCGACCAAATGGTTTGGCTGTGTTCTGGGAGCACAAGTTAACAGCGATCTCAAGAACGAACGTTACATTGTTAACGGTGCTCACGAATCGTCACGACTGCAGGAACTGTTGGACAGTTTTATCCAGAAGTACGTACTGTGCGGTGCGTGCGAAAATCCCGAAACAGTTTTATCGGTAAGCAGCAAAAAAGGTACCATTGGATCCACTTGTAAGGCGTGCGGCCATTCGTGTATGCTGCCGGTTACCGATCGATTGGCCACTTATATATTGAAATGTCCGCCAACACAGTCGTCGGGCGGTGCCGGCTCGGGCGCATCAGTGCAGGCGTCCGGCAAGAAAAGCAAACGCAAAGCTAAAGACGGTAAAAATGGCGGCGGCGGCGGCAAGAATGGCGACTCTAATGAACGAAACGGTAGTCCGCATAGCGGTTCCGATGGCGACCTTAATGGTGGCGATGTCGATGATGATTGGGTTCCCGAAGAGGATACCGACGCCGATGCTGTGGCTCGTCGTATGGAAGCTGCGCTCAGTGCCGGTACCAAAGCCCTGATGATGAACGACGATCTCGAAAAGAGTTCCGAAGAAAGGATTCAAATATTTTACGATTTTCTTAAGGTTTGTCTTAAGTGGTTGTGGTTGTTGTTGTTGTCGATAATTACCAATTTGTTTGTTTGTTTATATAGAAGAAAAAGAGTGATAACAACGGCGGCGGCGGCGGACCCATGGATGCCACCATCCAGAAGGAGATTGTATGCGAAGCCGAACGTCTGGAAGTAAAAGAAAAGGCTGTAATCGTATTGTGCGAACTGCTCTTCGATGAGCCCATAAAGATATTGCAACAGATTAAGACACACAGACTATTGTTTTTGCGGGTAATTATCGTAATTGAATCACCAATTGAATCAATTAGAGTCATTAAATACTTCACATCGGTTATGAAAAATTTTTTTTAATTACAAATTGTTTGTTTGGTTTTCAATTATATAGTTTACTTCGGATAACAGTAGAGCCCAGAAATATTTGTTGAGAGGCATTGAATTGACTATCAAAGAGTTTAAGGATCAGCTTATAGTACGTGTACCCCATATTCTTAAGCAACTCTACGATTTGGATATACTGGACGAAAAAGTCTTGATTGAATGGGGATCTAAAGTAAGTGGTGTATTATCCGATACTACCTGTCCATCATCATCATCATCACCCAAATGACAAACTAACTTAACTAAAACGATTGATCTGTTTATTGTTATTGTTATTAAAGGTCCAGAAGAAGAATGTGGGCAAAGAAATCGGTCAAGAAATCTATGACAAGTCGCAGCCGTTTATCAAATGGCTTAAGGAAGCCGAAGAAGAAGACGATTCAGACGACGATTCCGATAATGACGAAGATCTCGAAGTGGTCTACGATGAGCGCATACGTCCCGATAAGATCATACAAATCGAAGACAATGAAGACATGAATAACAAGAACAACAAGTCGTCGTTGCTGTCGGACAACAACAACAAATTGGCCAATAATAACAACTCGGCCGCGGCTGCCGATGATATCGATATTGACGCCATTTAGTCGGAGGAACTCTTAAAAAAAAATCTAAAGTCATTTCTCTCTCTTTCTCTTTCATATAATTGCTTATTATTATTATTATTCAATTATTATCTAATAATTTTTTTTGTTTGTTTGTTTGTTTGTTTTACTATTACCGTATAATATCGTATATTATTATTATTATTATTATTATTATTATAAATTTGATTATTATTATTATATAAATTGATTACCAGTTTTTTTTCAACAAACAAACAAAACAAACAATTTGTAATTTGATTTTATATACATATGTAAATGGGATGGGGTTGAGTGTTTCACTCACTCGCCCCTCCCCCCCCCCGTTTTATTATTTCGAGTTTGTATTTTTAAAAATATACTATAATTTAATTAATAATAAATGAGCATTTTAAAAAATTAACTACCTAGTTTTTAATTTATTGATAGAAAAATTTATCCAGTAATCTAACCTATATTATTATTATTATCCTAACTGTATTTATGATATAGTAATTAATTAATTAATTTCTATTATATTTTATTTATCAGTAATCATATAATAATGATAATAAATAAAACAATTATATATATATATATAGTAAAAATTAATTACCGGTACATATATCTTCAAATATATATATATATATATATAATATAAAAAATAAGATCCAAAAATTTGATTAATTTAGATAAAAGTGTACAATAATAATAAAACTAATAATAAAATTACAAACATAAATATTACTGTAGTAATAATAGCAATAATTAAATAAAATATATATAATTAGATATTTAAAAAAATATATATAATTAGATATTTAAAAAAATATATATAATTAGATATTTAAAAAAATATATATAATTAGATATTTAAAAAAATATATATAATTAGATATTTAAAAAAAAAAATAATATATATAATATTTAGGTAGCTATCAATATACATAGGTACTACATATACTACGGTAATTATTATGGTAATTAAAAAAATAAGATAATAAACAATTTGCAATTATTTTTTTGTTTGTAAATCATGATTTTTTTTCTATATAAAATATATATATATATATCAAAAGTAAATTATAGTTAATCACGCAATAAATTATTTGGTTATGTTTGTGTAGTTGTCTATTAAATACATACTGTCTATTCAGAGCACCGGGGGGGGCGGGGGGATCTCAAATTGATTGTGTATTACATTATTATAAGTCCTATTGTATGTACCGAAATATACCTGATTTTTTAAAAGTATAATTAGGTGTTAACTACAAGTAAAAAGTTAATTATTTTTCATATATATATATATATTCAATATAACCAGTAGTTTAATAATAATAATAATAATAAACAACAGTAGAATTAAATATATAATTAATTAATTAAAAAAAAACTGTATATAATTTACTAAAAAATTAAATTAAAATTAAATATATTGTACAATAAATTTAAATGCATTGATTTTTTTTAAAATTATTTTTTATTGATTTTGTTGTCAACAATTTTTAAATCCTAATTAATTATTATTTAAATTAAATAATCAAATTATTAACAACAAAAAAACTAATGTATAATTTATTAATAATAATAATAATAAATAAATTATTTAATTAATATTAGTTTTTATTAATTACTAATTTTTGTCTAGGTTATTTTTGTTAGTTTGAAAAATATGTATTTGATTTTTACTTGATTAAACAGGGACATATTGAAATGTTGATTTTAAACATAATAATAATTTTTATTGAATAATATATTTAATAAAAATAAAATTTAATTTATATAATAAATCAATTAAAATAATAAAGTACAATAAAGTAACCTGTTTAAACAATCTGAACAAATTTTCATGATGTCACCACCATCACCAAACAAATAAACAAATACATTAGGACGTCCTAATTGAGATAAACTTATATGAAATCATTATATATTTCATAACATTAATTTCATGATTGTATATAAATTTATTAGCCTATAATTATATATAAAATAATAATAATAATAATTTAAAAAAAATAAAAATAATTATAATGTAAAATAAACAATTATATATATATATAAAATATATGTTACTTAAAATTAATTAGTATTAATTTACATGTACAATCATTAAACACATTTTTAGATTAGTCATTAACGTTAGATTATATTGTGAACGACCTTTATGGGTTATCCCAGGGATTGTCCCATTGAAATTAAATGTGTGTGTGTGTGTGTGTAATCATTATTTCACAATGATCTATATTTGTCCAGGACAATAATTATTTTTAAAAAATAAAAAAAATAAAAAAAATAATAATAAATTTGATGGGGTTAACAATTAACTTGGTGACACACACACACACACACACACACACACACACACACACACACACACACACACACACACACACACACACACACACACACACACACACACACACACACACACACACACACACACACACACACACACACACACACACACACACACACACACACACACACACACACACACACACACACACACACACACACACACACACACACACACACACACACACACACACACACACACACACACACACACACACACACACACACACACACACACACACACACACACACACACACACACACACACACACACACACACACACACACACACACACACACACACACACACACACACACACACACACACACACACACACACACACACACACACACACACACACACACACACACACACACACACACACACACACACACACACACACACACACACACACACACACACACACACACACACACACACACACATAGTAACTATCATTAATAATTTAATGCATGAGAAAGTTACTGATGACGTCACACATACACATACACACATACACATACACATACACATACACATACACATACACATACACATACACATACACATACATATACACATACACATAGACATACACATACACATACACATACACATACACATACACATACATATACATATACACATACACATACACATACACATACACATACACATACACATACACATACACATACACATACACATACACATACACATACACATACACATACACATACACATACACATACACATACACATACACATACACATACACATACACATACACATACACATACACATACACATACACATACAAACAGAGTACATGTACACTGTAGGCCATTGTAAATGCATTCAAACACATATACAGTATACACTGTGTATTATACCGGTATATATATATATATATATATTGAATATATATCAATAAGTATGTGAGAGAGATAATCGCATCCCTATAATAATACTAATAATAATTAGTATTGTGGTTGTACTGTATTAATATTATATTATACTGTACTGTATTTGTGACTCAAATAAAATGCTAATTGATTTTTGTTATGTATTTTTATACTCAAAATTGAATGAATGATTCATTCAATTATTATTTTATTTTTTATTTTTAAATAATAATAATAATAATAATTGACTGACATTTATATGATATTAATATTAATATTATTATTATTATTTTTGGTGTGTATTTAAAAATCTTGAAATATATTATTAAATAAATAAATAAATAAATATTTTTGTATATAAATCAACAAAAAAATAATAAAATTATTTTTCGTTTTTTTTAAATAATAACTATTTTTGTTAAATGAGTTGTTTTTTCTCTAATATATTATTAATTAATTAATTAATTAAATTTTTGTGATAATAATTAATAATTAATATTAACTGTAAAAATGATTGTCATATTTGTTGTCAACTAATCAATCAATCAATAAGTAGATCCCAAAGTAAATCATCAATAGATTCAATACATATATATATTATATGATATATCCTATTGTTGTTGAGGTAAGTGATGGCCAATTGATTAATATATTGTTGTTGTTTATGATATATATATATATATATATTGGACACGGATTTCGGGATCTCATACGAGATGATTATGACCACTACTACTACTACTACTACTACCGTTGTTGGCCTACCGACCGACTGATTGATTGACTATTCAATTAGCCGATCGGTTGGTTGGTTCAGTGGACACCACCATCACTACTACTACTACTACTACTACCGTTGTTGGCCTACCGACCGACTGATTGATTGATTGATTAGCCGATCGGTTGGTTGGTTCAGTGGACACCATCATCACTACAACTACTACTACTATTGTCAAAAACCGATGACATCATTGGGAGACCAGATATTACTTAAAAATATATCTCTTTTTGTTTCTTCATTTTAATTTACTTAAAAGATTTCGACTATCGTTTGTCTCTCACTGATTGTATGGTAAAGACAACAGAAAAAAGAAGAAGAAGAAGTAATGAATGAAAGAAAGAGAGAGAGAGAGAGAGAGAGATAATAACAACAAAAACTAATGGCTGACTGATCACTAACTTCTTCAAAGAAAGAGACACAGAGAGAGAGAGAGAGAGAGACCAGTTATTATGCAATAGTAGTTGTAGTGGTGGTAGTAGTTGTAATACCAGTCCATCGACATCATTATCATCGCATGCCTAGAGGGCAAAGAGAGAGAGAGAGAGAGAGAGACAACCAGTTAAATGGTTGACTAATTTTTCTCTGCCATTGACTGACTGTCTGTTTTTTTTTTGTTGGTGTTTGATTAGCAAACAGGAAAAACACATTGTCTTCGCGCACACAACAAACAAACTGTTTGTTTCTGGATATCAACCGACAAAATACAGGACAGAGGACAGGACTGGTCATAGTTTTTAATGATAAATAGTTAATACAACTCTTACGGTAATTGTGTTGGTTTATCAGCGGTGGTGACAGTAGTAGTGGTAGTGGTGTTGTGTTGTTGTTGTTGTTGTTGTGATCATCCAGTGATCAATTGAGATCCCGGTGCCCAATATATATATATATATATGATATATATACTGAATGATTGGTTATATATCTATGTTGTTGTTGTTGTTGTTGTTATCAATGATTTTTTAAGTGACAGTTGTTGCTGTTATTGTAGTAGTTATTGTCTTATTTGATGAAATCAATAATCAATTGGTTTGTAACAACTAATAGGACTACTAATCAATTGAATAATACATTATTGTCGACACCATTGACACCAACGACATCATCAGCAGCAGCATCGATGACAATGACAGCCATGACTCAGGACGAGATCATTACCAATACGAAGACTGTTATCCAAGGTCTGGAAGCGTTGAAAAATGAAAACCACACGATATTGGCCGGACTGGTGGCCACATTACAAGTGGTCAAAGAGACGACGACCACCAGCAATGTCGGCGGCGGCGACGCCAATACAAGACTAATGGAAGAAAAGGCTTCAATCATACAGAAGATTATCGAATCGATTGAACTGGGTTTGGGTGAGGCATCGGTAATGACGGCTCTGGCCGGCCATTTGCAGACAATCGAAGCCGAAAAGCAGAAACTACGGGCTCAAGTCAGACGATTGTGTCAGGAAAATGCTTGGCTTAGGGATGAGTTGGCTAATACTCAACAGAAATTGCAGGCATCGGAACAAATGGTTGCACAACTGGAAGAAGAGAAGAAACACTTGGAGTTTATGAATTCGCTGAAGAAATACGATGGACAGGACACCAGTGTATGTGTGGTTTTGGTTTTTATTATTGATAATAACCGCCAATCGATTGATAGATACCCCCCCCCACCTCCCTTATATACTATAGTTAATTGCCGTAACTATTGTATTGATTGAATGATTTGATTACCGATAGATTTTTTTTGGGTGTGTTTATAATCGTTAGTTTTTTTTGATTTTTAATTTTATTAGTAAATACTGTATTTATAAATAGTTAGTTATATTGAGGTTTATTATTATTATTATTATTATTATGTATACAATAATGAATTGATTTTGTTTAGTTTAGTTTATATAATCTACAGTCACAGTCAACGATTAATATATATATATATACAGTATATATATATATATATATATATATATATTAAATAATTAAAATAATTAATTAGTAATTGTTTTTTTCAAATAATAATAATAATATAATCATAAATTTCATGCCATTTTGAACAACACAATCATTAAGTCTATATCTATTGGTGTGAAAACAGACACTTCAAAAAAAATACATTTATATTATATGACTATTATTTTATATCCTATATATATATATATATATATAAATAGGATATAAACAAATAATTATATGGAGGGGGTTGGCGGGGTAGACAATTAAAAATGTTAATTTTATCGGTAAATTATCGGGTAATAATTTCCTCCCCCCGTCCGGCAGATTTCCGAGGAAACAAGTTTCAGCGAAAAAAGTAAATCCGAAACCGAGCCGCCGTTGGACTTAGGCTTTCCCGACGATGACGACGACGTTGTCCATCCGGAAGGTCTGACACCGACACCGCCCGGCCAGATGGCCGCCGCTGCCAACGCTGGCTACGAAATACCCGCCCGACTACGTACGCTGCATAACTTGGTCATACAGTACGCGTCGCAGGGCCGCTACGAGGTGGCCGTACCGTTGTGCAAGCAGGCTCTGGAAGATTTGGAAAAAACCAGTGGACACGATCATCCCGATGTGGCCACAATGCTCAACATACTGGCACTGGTCTACAGGGATCAGTATAAGTATCGGGAAGCGGCCAACCTGTTGAACGATGCCTTAAACATCCGGGAGAAAACATTGGGCGAAAATCATCCGGCCGTAGCTGCAACATTGAATAATTTGGCCGTATTGTACGGTAAACGTGGCCGCTATAAGGAAGCCGAACCCCTATGTAAGCGTGCCCTAGAAATCAGGGAACGAGTATTGGGGAAATCGCATCCGGATGTCGCTAAACAACTAAACAATTTGGCCCTATTGTGCCAAAATCAAGGCAAATACGATGAAGTGGAAAAATATTACGTCCGGGCGCTGGAAATCTACGAAAAAGTTCTCGGACCGGACGACCCGAATGTGGCCAAAACTAAAAACAATCTGGCCTCGGCCTATCTGAAACAGGGCAAGTATAAGGAAGCGGAACTATTGTATAAGCAGGTGCTGACCCGGGCACACGAGCGGGAGTTCGGTTCAATCGATGACCAGAATAAACCGATTTGGCAGTTGGCCGAAGAACGGGAGGAGATCAGGTCGAAGAATAACGGTGTAATGCCGCCGCCGTCGTCGCAGCAGCAGCAGTCGGCGACGGCAACGACACCCGGATCGGCCACCAATGCCGACTACGGCGGCTGGCATAAAGCTGTTGATAAATGGTTAGTGGGGAGGGGGGGTCGGGCGTGCGGGCGATCCGTTTGTTTATTAATAAACTAATTTGTTTGTTTGTTTGATTGATTGATTGTCTACTGTCCCCACACACACACACACACACACCCATCCAATATCCAACCGTCCTATCAATAGTCCAACAGTGGCCACTACGCTGAAGAATTTAGGTGCACTCTATCGACGACAGGGCAAGAATGATGCCGCAGAAGTACTCGAAGAGACGGCATTGAGGGCTCGCAAAGAAGTTAGTCTTGTTTTTTGTTTTTGTTTTTGTTTTTGTTTTGATTGATTGATGTGATAATTACCCGAAATATATATATATATATATATATATATACAGAGTTGTATAGATATATATATAGCCCTAAATTGTCTGGTCAAACACACATTCACAAACACAGACATACATACATATACACAAACACATACACGAACTTAAACACACACACACACACACACACATACACATACACACAAACTTATACACACACATATACACAAACACATATACACAAACACATACATACACAAACACAAACACATACACATACACATACACATACACATACACATACACATACACATACACATACACAAACATACACAAACATACACATACACATACACATACACATACACATACACATACACATACACATACACATACACACAAACTTATTCACACACACATATACACAAACACATATACACAAACACATACACGCATACATACACATACGCATACATACCTACCTTTCATGTACCTCATAATTGAATTATTTAAAAAAAACAAACAAATTGTTTTATTATATATTATATTAAAATTTTAAAGTATTTTTCCGCACGTCTAGGCTTTTGATGCGGCCGTACGTCAAGGCAAGTCACCTCATTATTTAACCACTGATTTTATTGCTACTACACAACAGTCCAGAGATAAAAGACGATCCTTTTCTAAGGATAGCAGTCGACGGGGGTCTCGGGAGTCTCTAGACCTGATGGCCACCACCACCAGCAACGATAGTATGGCCGCCTCCGCCACCACCGCCGGTGACGATGTGAGTAAAAATCCCGTTAAAAAACATCCATAAGTTTCTAGTAGTAGTAGTAGTAGTAGTAGTTATTGTTGTTTTTGGACATTCATTTATACGTAAATTACCCGTCAATTTGAAAACGATATCAAAGAGAGAGAGAGAGAGATACAGTTTTTTTTATGTCATTATTGTTTAACATTTATTATTACATTATTATTATTATTATTATTATTATTATTATTATTACAACACATATAATGTGGTCTTAATTTTTTTTATTGTTATATTTTTAATGACCAATACATTGATTGATTGATTGATTGCATGACTATATATCACCCATAAAAAACAATCAACAAAAATAAAGACATCCATAAAAAAACAAACATCAGATAACTATATGATTAAGTGATTTAAAATTTTTTTTTTTTAATAATTTTATTTTAATTTTGTTTTTTTTTTGTTTCATAAATATTAACATTTTTAAAACAACTATTTTACTAAATATTTACTAACATTATTATTATTTACTAATTTACTAGATAGTAGTATAAACACAAAAATGAGCATGGTAGTCAATTACAACATTTAAAAAAATAATACATAAAATAATATTTTTTTTAAAAAAAAGGTTTAACTATTTTTTTATTTAAAAAAAATTATTATTATAATAATTACTTGTTTTTACAATGAATTATATATATTTTTAATCACAATTTAATTACTAATCATTTAATTACTTTTTATTATTAATTACTAACATATATATATTACTAAATTATTACTAATATATTAATATATATTAGTACAATGTATATATTAATATTTAAATATATTTTACTATTTGTATAACCGATTTCAATTTAATAATCATTATCATTTATTTTAATTTTTTTTAAAATATAAAAATAATTAAATATTTTAAAAACAAACAAACAAAAACTTTTTTTTAATGGTAACAACAAAAACAATAATAAAATAATAATTTTTTTGCAATTGTTTGGCAAGTAATACATGAATGTCTAAATATATATATATATATATATATAGTGTTATGTATTCATTAAGAAAAATTGATACAATTTTTTTTTTATAAATCTATATATATTTTTACTTTAATTTTTTTCATAATATTAATTTTATTTATATATTTATTGCACCCTGATGATTATTATTATTATTATTATGATGATGATATGATCCACTTGAATTTGCACCATTGATTATTTATTTATTTTTTGTTTTATAAAAATTTTTATTTTCATGATTACAATCCACTACTATCTCTATTTGTTGAAACACACCCCCTTACCCGGGTATATAAATGTGTGAATATATCTATATATATATATATATATATATATATATATATATATATGTCGATGATATGATGACAGTCCTCCTCATCGACAATCCTACTTCCGAGGACATCGTCCGATATGAATCTAAGTGGCGACCAATTGGGCGGCGGCGGCATTGGCGGCGGCGGCGCCAATCGATCGGGACTTAAGTCTAAACTGTTCAGCGCTCTGGGATTTCATGGACCCAACACTTCCGCTTGAAAAACACATTAATTTTTATTTTTAAAAAAAACACACACACACACATAAAAACCCCCTTTTTATTTACTGCACCTATTATTTTTGATAATTGATTTGATTGAATGCTCTTTTTATTATTATTATTATTTAAATAATAATTATATTGTTTTTTTAGTACTCATATAACACGTTATCTCTCTCTCTCTCTCTCTCTCTCTCTCTCTCTCTCTCTCTCTCTAAAAAAAATTTATGTAATCATTATTTTTATTGGTTTTTGTTTTCAATGCACACACACACACACACACACACACACAGCAAAAAATCATATTTTTTTATAAATACATATATATATATATATTAGATTATTAAAAAAAACATTTGCAAGTTTGTTATTATTATTATTATTATTATTATATTTTAATACATAAATTGCATGTTTGATATATATATATATATATATATATATATATATATATATATTTATAGACAATAACACAACAACAAAATGATAATTGATTGTAATTTTTTTTCATTTATATATATATATATATATATATATATATATCAATATTTAACTGTATATTTTCATCCGACATAAGCAATGATTAATGCAAACCAAAAAGTGATTTTATTGTTTTTTTTATTACAACAAAAAAATATAAATTAAAAATTTTTAATTTATATTTAGTATGTTTATGGTTTGATTATATATATATATATATAGAGAGAGAGAGAGATCATTGATTATTATTAAAATTTTTGATTATTATTATTATATAAATATATATATGATTTAATTATATATATATATTTAAGTTTATTTATATACATATAAAAACAGTATATTTAAAAACAGTTAATTCAGTATAATTGATAATTATGTTATTATTTTTACTAATTATTATTATTATTGTTTTTATTTTTTCATTTGTAAACAATATATTTTGTGTATAGTCTGTGATATAAAAGATATTTACTTTTTAATTTTCAATCATTACTTTTTTTGTATTTTTCAAAAAAATTTTTTTTGTAGTTTCATCTAAAAAAAGTGTTTTTTTCAATTTTTCACTATATATATAAAACAATTAATTATATATATATATATATATATATCATACATATATAGTAATAAAATCATTAATTAATTTCAACAACAAAAAATTTTTAACATTTATTTCATATTATTAAACTAAATTATTAATTATTATTAGTAGTAGTATTATTTATCAATAATCTAATTATTTTTTTTTTAAAAAAGTTATATAATTTATAAGTTACTAAATTATGAGAATTTATTAAATTTACTAAATTATAAAAATAAAATTATTATTATTATTATTATTATTTGATTGATTTATTGATTGATAAATTTATTATAATATTAATAATTAATATTAGTATTATTTAATAATAATAACGATAATTATATTAAAATAGCTAAATAGTAATCAAAATAAATAACACACTATTTGTAATTAAATTGTATTTATTTTTCGAAATTGTTTTTTTCTATCCCAACGAAACTGATTCCTGAAAAAAATAAAACTAATAATAATAATTAAAAAAAATTATATTAAATTAAAATCTAATAAATCACAAACAATTAAAAAAATTTTTAAAAAAAAATTAATCAGTTGTTGTTGACTACCGCTGCTGCTGCTGCTGCTGATGATGAGGATAGTAGTGATAATATCTATACTACCGGTGCTCTAATTACTACCAGTCAATTGAAAACAAGCCATTCACTGACAAGACTAGTTAGTATGACATCATTGCGTCGAAATAGTTATAAATTGTTCAACAAAATCAAATCATCTGATTATAGCCACTATTATCCAGATTTAATTAAAAACAGGTATTAATTATGTTATAATTTTTTTTTTTAAAAAAAAATTTCACAATAAATCACAAAATTAATTAAATTTTTAAAATTATTAATTATAATTAGTATATAATAATATATAATAGTAGAGTATATTAACACACACACACACACACACACACACACAAAAACAGTCGACAATTATAGTTATTAATTTTGTTATAATTTTTTTTTAAAAGTTAAATATTATTATTATTATAATTAGAAAATTTGATTTTTTCTACACAATTAATATCAATTGTATTAATTAATAAATAATTTTTTTTTCTCAATATCTAAGCATGCACATTTTTGTTGCAAAATAATTATTAATTTATTTAATTTATTTATTTATTTATGTTTAATAAATTATTTAATGATTTTTTTTTAGTGTTTGTATTAATTATTCTAATTTTTTTTCTCACAAATTTATTGGAGAGATATTATTAATTAATTAAATTATTTATTAAATATAACAACAAAAAAATTATTTAATTATTGGATCAATTAATGTGATAAAAAAAAATCTTCTTCACTAACTTTACACAGAATGCCGAGAACTCATTCCATGTCAACCATAACGTCATCATCAGAAAAGTCAACCAATGAAGACCATGAAGAAGACGAAGACAACGACAACCATCACCACAACCATCACCACCGCAACAGTCCATAGGATAACACAAACAACAACAACACAAACCTATTGCTAATAAAGACAAAGATCTACACCAGTGATGATCATCTCAACAGCACTACTACTACTACTACTACTACTACTACTACTACTACTACTACTACTACTACTACTACTACTACTACTACTTCATAATGTGTTTGTTTTTTTTCTTGTGGCCAATTAAATGCCATTTTATTTATATAGTGTTTTATTTGCACCTAAATTATTATTATTATTATTGGACATTAAATTGTTTTTTTTTGTTTTGAATTTAAAAACATAATAATAATTTAATGTAGTTTTCAAATATATATATATATATATATATTAAATTTCATTTTACAGTATATATCATAT